ACACACAGGGCAGGTTGCCAGGGTATAGACGGTACCCAGGGCTGCCTGCTCCGTGCCTGGTGTTATTCGAAGGATTTCGTGTGTTGTAACTCATTGGCTCCTCACCTCAGGTGTGAGGGCGGGACTGGGCCTAGCTGGACGCTTGCAGAAGAAGGTGTGGAATCATGCAAGAAGGGCAACTTGTCCCCAAGAGTGTTGGTGAAGCCTTCCTGGCAGAGGTGACATCTGACTGGGGCCTGGAGGGATGACTAGGAGTTTGTGAGGCAGAGAAGAGAGGGAAGGGAGGCTGGGCTTGCCCAAGCATGGACAAAGGCCTGGTGATGTTACGGAGTCTGAACATCAGTACTGAGACCCACACTTCCAGTGTCCTTGGGCAGATGGGGAAACTGACGCCCAGAGCAAGGAGGGCTGCGGTGAGTCATCGGTAGGTTGGGCCCAGGACTCCAGTCCCGGCTTTGGGTGCCTCCCCTTGCTCTGGTCTCACCCCTGAGGCTCGCACTTGGGGCCTCAGCAAGGCTCTTAGGTAGGATTTCAAGGTAATTTGAGCTCAGTCTAGCAGCTTCTCAGAGTACCGGGATTGGGGGTATGGCCCAGTTCTGCCACAGACCTGGGTCAAAGCAGTTCTGGACTCAGACCCCAGCAGGACAGCCATGCTCTTCAGCCCTGACTGGCCTGGCCCTGCTGACTTCCAGCCCCATCTTCTGCCTCGACCTACCTCTCTCTCTCTGCCCCCCAGTCAGCTTTTCTAATGGTAGAATTAGAAGTCTGTGAAGAAGGTGATGGCACTGATGAAGAAGAAGGCGCTCAGAGAGGGATGTGGTTTGCAAGAGGGCACACAGCAAGTTAGAGACAGGCCCAGCATGAGGGCGCTTCCTTGCGAGCTCAGGTTTTTGTGAACAGCTCATGGTCCAGGTAGGAGTAGGACCCTTCCTGAGTGAAGGGCCACCCAGCTTCGATGCGATTTCAGGGAGATAGGAAACATGGAGATGCAAGATCCCTACGTCTGAATCTCATTTTGCTATGTGACCTTGGATAGCTCCTTTCCCTCTCTGGGCCTCTCTCCCATCCATTCCAGGAGGGCCTAGAGGTGCTAACTTGTAAGGTCCTTGTTGTCCAAAGCCTCTGACCCTGGCACCCAGGAGGAGAGGACATGCTATGAGGGAGGGAGAAAGACACTGGTCCAGGGTTGGATGGGGACCAAGGAAGAGGTTGGGAGGAGCGTGGGGAGAAGAAGCAGTATGGCCTCTAGGAAGTCACGTGCCCTCTCTGAACCTCAGTTAACACATTTTCCTAGTGGGAGTCACCGTGAAGGTTCTGGTACTCCGTGTGGGACAAAGATCAGTCTTTTCCTCAACCAAGCCAGCAGCTGGGCCTGGCCTCCTTGCTGCTGGTCATGGTGGTTTGGAGAGTCCACGGGAAGATGTCAGACCAGGCCTTGGTCTGGCTGCTCTGGCTGGCTAGGTGGAAGGTGGGGGTGTACTTCCCGTGTGGATGGGCCTAGGCAGCACCAGCACCTTGGCCAGGAGATGACTGACATGGCAGAAGAGCTTGGGCTTAGGAGCCACTAGGTCTGGGCTGGAAACTCAGCTCTGCTACTTAGTAGCCGTGAGATCTTGGGCAAGTCAGCTAAGAGTTTGCTGAGCCTCAGTGTCCTCCTCTGTAAAATGGGACACACATCGGGGCGCCTGTGTGGCTCAGTCGTTAAGCGTCTGCCTTTGGCTCAGGTCATGATCCCAGGGTCCTGGGATCAAGCCCCGCATCGGGCTCCCTGCTCGGCGGGAAGCCTGCTTCTCCCTCTCCCACTCCCCCTGCTTGTGTTCCCTCTCTTGCTGTGTCTCTCTCTGTCAAATAAATAAATAAAACCTTAAAAAAAAAAAAATGGGACACACATCATAGGTGCCGTGAGGCTGACATGACAGGAGAGCAGTGAGGAATGGTGCCCCCGGCTTGGGCTCAGAGAACTGGCTGAGATTCCTCCTTCCTCTGCTTTCTCTGCAGCCCACATGGGACCAGCTAGAGTCGGCCTGGAATCCAAGCCAGAGCGGACGCCCCCCACCCAGCTTGGAGACACCTGCAGCCTCAGAGCTAGGGGAGGCCGAGCACAGCGCACCTCAGGGCCCCAGCTGTCACTGCAGGGAAGCAGTGGCTCACAGCCAGAGACCCCTGCTCTACCACGTCCAGGCATCAGCTCGTGGGGTCGGGAGGGCTTGCTGAAGAAGCTGATGAGAGCACAGGAAGGGTTGGCCGGGGACCGGGGACCGGGGACCCACCTTCAAACCTGTTTCTGATTTCCTCTGCTGCTCACCCCTATCTCTGGCTGGCAGCTTGCCCGGATTAGCAGCTGACGTCAGGAGCCGCTAGCTGGGCCGGCCTGGCACAGCCTCGGGGAGGTGTGTGAGGGCCGGCTGGGAGCTGGGTAGTCAAGGAAGGAGGCACGTATCCAGCTTTGGAAGTTTTTCCTCCAGAGATGTAGGAGGGAGAGGGGCATTGCGTTAGGCACTCACACGTGATCAGTGTAACACGTTCACCTTGTACGGAGAGAGAAATCACTCTGGGAGGTGGAGTAACTCACTTCAGGCTGCACAGCTGGTCTGAGCCTGGCTGCATCCCACACCATCCAGCTGCTAGGCCTGTGGGGGGCCCATCTCTGTGCAGCACCTTCTACACCATGACCTCAGTGCATCAGCCAAGTGCTGAGCACCTACCCCATCCCCGGAGCCTGGCAAGCTGGTGTCCCATTCTAAGATAAAAAAAAACCCCAGAAGCCCAGACTTGCCCAAATCACAGCTTAGATTGGTGATGGAGGCAAGGTTTGAACCCAGGATGAACTCCAAAGCCTGTGTTCTTACCTGCCACAGCCTCGACAAAGATCTTGTAGCTTAGACATATTTTGAGCCCGAATCCCCTAGGTTCCCATGGCTGCACAAAATTCTGCTTTGGGTGGGAGCATCTGTATGCAGAGTAGAAAATGCAGTGGGTTAGAGCAGGTCACCTCCACGGAGAAACAGACCTCAAGTTGACAAATTTCAGGGAAGGACCTTATAGGCCCAGTTTAGTCACATGTTCACTCCTTGACCAATCAACAGGGCCTAGGGCTAGTAACCATGTAGCAGCTGGCTGGAGACCCTGGGGGGCTTAGAGGGTGGGGTAGGGCCAACACAAAGCCTTTGCCTAAAGATTCGACCACAGGGCCAAAGGCTCTGTTCAAGTTACCTCTGCTTTCCCTGGCTCCTTGGGGTCCTAGTCCCAACCTCAGTGACAAGAAGGTGTTGTGTCAAGGTTCCACTCACGCTGGGTCCTCTCATAACTGCTCTCCTGGTGCCTCACCTCTCTGGCCAGAGGGATAGGCCATGTTTGCCCAGGGAACTGAGGCATGTGGACGGAGGTCACAAGCCACCTGGAGGACTCAGCTCTGAGCCCAGCTTGTGTGTGAGCCTTAAGGGCAAGTCATATCCATTCACTCTTTAGGTCTCAGCTTAAATGCCGCCTGCAGACAGGTCTTCCCTGACCCCTCCGCTTGTCTCTCTCCCAGTTCCCCCGTCTTTTCAGTCACATGACTTAGTACAATCCATCATTCTCTATTTTTGTCTGCGGAATGTTTGTCTTTCCTAGCAGATTGGGAGGACAGGAGGCATGGCTGACACAGAATAGACAATAAATATTTGCTGAATGAAGCTTCTCTAAACTTTGGTTTCCCCATCGTACGATGGGGTTAACATCTCCCCTCCAGCCCAGTGAAATTCAAGTCAGATAATATCTCAAAGCACACAGCCCAGGCCGAGGATGCGGAAGGTACTCAAGATCCTGGGAGCTCGAATGAGCGGCAGGCTGGGCTGGAAGACCTCTGTGAGCTGTGGGGAGGTGGGAAGACCCACGGGTGCAGCTGGTTAGAAGAGAATATGTGGCACTGCCCTGACCCCAGGGCCAAGAACAGTCCGCCTGCCTTTACTGTCAGGGAACTTGAACTTGAACTTGAAAATCTGAAACCCACTCTAGGTTTGAATTTCAGCTCTGCTGCTGTTATTTGGGGCATATCACTGCTTGTCTGAGCCCGTTTATTTGTAAAATAGCCTTAAAATTAAAAAAAAAAACCTTTAAGTAGGCTCCACACCCAAAGTGGGGCTTCATCTCACAACCCTGAGATCAAGAATCACATGCTCCACCGACGGAGCCAGCCTGGTACTCTGTAAGATGACCATTTTTAGAAGCCCACTTTGCCAGCCCGTGTGCAAACTCTAAATGAGTGCTTTTCCCCTTTGAAACAAAATTAGGGACGGTTCCTGGTCCCTCAAGCCACAGGGACCCTGAGCACTGAGGACATGTGGCATGGGGAGGCAGGACAGGACAGGCTTGGTTGTCAACAGGGCTGCTGGCCCCACCAGCTCCGCACACCGAGGGAGCAGAGGGAGAAGGAGGAAGACACCGTGCGGGTGGGGGAGGAGGCGGCGGATCTGCAGCCTGTGCTCTGCCAAGGCTGGTGCACCCTATTCTGCCCCCACCTCTGATGAAAGCCCCCGGGGTCCCCGGGCCAGCCCTGAGCAGGGGACCTGGGGGCGCCCTGCAGGTGGCTGCATCCTTGTGCATAAATGTATCTTCTAATTGTGGGGGAGTTTCCTGGCCACAGACAGAAAACTCAGCCAAAGGAGAAAAGGAAAAGCCCGGGATTCCCACCCCCAGGACCCCACTCTTAGTCTTTGTACTTTCTCCTTTTTGCATAGTTGCCGTCCAGGGTCCCCTGTTTGGGAACTCTTTTCCTGAGCAGTTCCCGGTCTTTCTAGCCTTTGTACCGCACTTTTCCGTGTTCCAGCTACTTTGGATCTGACATCTGTCCTTCCTCAATACACTGTGAGGTAAGCAGGCAGAATTACTCCCAGCAGACGGATAAGGAAACTGAGGCACAGAGTAGCCAAAACTACCCAGCTGGTGATGCAGGGGTGCTTGGGACACACACAGAGGAAACGTGGGAAGAGGGGAGGAGGACAAAAAAGACAGTCCCACAATTCTCATCTCAAAATATTTAATTTTGTTTGGAAAAGGACACATTCCCGGCTTCCCTCCCTGCCACATCACTCCAGCCTACCAGCAGCGACACATTCGCACGCACACACGCACATAAGGCCAACAGGCTACGGTCTGCTTCTGCCCTCTCCCGCTGGGCAGAAGGGGTTTCCTCCTTGCCTCCTTCACCCAGCAAGGGTAAAGGGGAGAGGGGCCCGCTGGAATGCCGGCTCCCAGGGGAGGACGCAGAGCCCCACACACTCTATCACATGCACTTAGAAAAATAAAACCAAGTGGTGTTCTGGCATCCCCAACACCGTAAGATAGCAATATCCACCTGGAAGTCATCTTTGCCATTTTCTAGAAAAATTTATTGCACTTAATTAACAGATGTTAAAGGAGCTCTGGGGTGGGGCTTTGCCACAAAAACCAGGGGTTCCTGGCCCTTTGTGTTACGGGGAGCAGAGCTCCCAGGGCCGTGGATGGAGAGCTGCCCAGCACAAAGGGGCCCTCCTCTGCTGGTTCCCAGGCCTGCCACCCCACCTCAGGCTGGAGGACTGTATGAGCTGCCTGCCCAGGGCCCCAGCAGTCCCCCTCAGCAGGGCGATGCTTATCCAGAGTCAAGGGTCACTGCCCAGTGCTCTCCCCAACCTCAGGACCCGGACAGGCAAACCCCTTCCTTTGGCCAAGGGTAAGAGTTACCCAGGTCCTCCACAAGGTGCTAGCCATCATGAAAGCTCTCTCTAAATATATATATTTCTATTTCTAGATATACATTTATTACATGTATATTCTTTCAACATTCTAGCTCATTCATGATTTGTCTGTTCTGAGGTTGCAATGAGGCTGCCACGAAGCTGAAGACAGGGAGCTTAGGAAGGCATGTGCTTCCCAAGCGATCATAAACTGACAGGAAGCCATTTATGCTGGCTTCCCTAGCCTCCAGTGCTCCTTAGATGTCAAAGATCTGAGCCCAGGAGCTGCACTCTTTGGCTGTCGGCCCCAAGGAGGGAGTCAAGGAGACTCCCAATTCCTGACAGATACTGAGCAGGCAGCAGCCCTCTCCTGCTCCAAGCACCCGTTTCTTAGGCCTGGGAAGGAGACACGCTTTACCTGAGCGCTCCTCTTCCCCAAAATGTCAACCTTCCATGGACCCCTCCCCTTCCTGTCCCTGCCAGGCTCCTGGCTCAAAGGAGCTCTTCTGAAAGAGGCCAGCGGCCACACTCTTTCCAAGTAAGCACTTTGGGAAGGAACCAGACACCCACTGCCCAGTGGGGAGGAAAAGGAGGGCACCGAGCAGGCAGAAGGTGAGACAGAGAGGAGAGACATCAGCCATCATTCCACCCGCTGCGGGGGGAACATGGACACCAACCAGAGATTAAATGTCCATCCTTAAAACAAAACAAAACACAACATAAACCGTATACTTTCTCACCAAAGAAAATGAAGAGCGTTTAAGCTGGAGGCTCTTCTCCCAATTACAAAATGAGAACTGCCCTCTTGGTGGGTAGCCAGACCAGACAGAGAGTGTCCGGGCGGGCGAGCTGCCCAGGGCAAGACACTGACATGCCAGATGCAACGGCCCTGTTGTGGTTGTAAGAGAGTGAGAGTGAACACGGTTTTATAGAACCACAAAGTCAAAATCAGGAGGGAGGGGGTCGCCTCCCTTGGCCTCAGGGACCCTTGTCAAATACCCGGAAGGGCAGGTGTGCAGGTCCCTGGAGGGCTGTGGCATTCCCCTGGGGTGTGGTCCATGGCCAGTGCATGGTTTCCCCCGGTCTTAACATCTGCTGTGAAAAGTCTTTCAGGGTCAGGGCCCGGGACTCGGAGCCACCACTTTAAATAAAGCCAGTGGTAAGCACAACAAAGTGCGCCTGTCGCCTCTGACCCCTCTTTACCACAGGCTACCCGCCCTGAGCAAATAAATACACCCATCTCCAGGTGCCCCAGCTGACCACAGTGAGCAGAGGCTTCCACGGCTTTCCTCAACGAATCTTCCAGGTACAGCCAAAGGACGACGGAGTCCGCCGACACAAGAGGAAGGAGCAGCTGGGAGGGACTGGAGCCACAGCTGCGAGGACCTCTGCCCTCCACACGACAGCTTGGCTCATGTGGGCGGCTGGTGTCTCCTGGGGACGCAGACGGAGGGGCCCCTAGCCCGAGTGAATGGCCCAAGAGCTGAGCTGTGACCCCTGCAATCCCTCACCGGGTCCTGCGGGCTGACACTCCGGGCAGCTCGCATGGGGGAGGGATCCTGAAGCAAGAATTAGGAAGCCCTCTTCTGTTTTTAGGGAAAGTGGACTCTAGCCTGGCCCACACTGGAGAGCAGAGCAAGAAAACAGGGGAACTTCTTGGGAAACGTGCCCCAGTTCTCCACCCACAGTGTATGGGGCCGTGGAGGCCGGTTTTCTAAACACCATGCGATGGGGCATCCTGGCTCCAGGAAGTTAAGCTTCCTAGGCGAGTGGGGGGGGGGGGGGTTCCTTTTAAATCCAAGGTCTGAGCATGATCACTGGGTGAAAAGAAAGAGCAGGCTCCAAGGCCCAGTGTGGTGGGACAAAGAAGTTTCAGGGGGCCTCCACAAGTGGCCTGGAGAAGAGGAGATGAAAAGGCCTCCCTCTGCACTGTGGTCAAGACTCGGGAGACCAGCCGCCCTGGGAGTCCCTCCTCCGAAGCAGATGAAACATGGGGAGAGCCCCTCACCAGGGCCTCCTCCCTGGCTTCCAGGCCTCAGAGCCACAGGAGCAAAGGGGTGTGGGAGCGAAGAACAGCTGGGTGCACTTTGGCTGCAGGCCCCAGACCCACACCCCATCCCAGGCTGTGCAGAGACCCTGCTCCTGTGGCCTGGCCCCCTCTGGAGGAGCTGCTTTGTCTTTCTACCTCTGAGGGAGATGGGAACGGATGTGTCTCTTGAAGACTTTCTGGGGAGGGTGAGGTGGGTGACAGACACGCCCCACCTGGAAATGCGCCCCGCTACCTGAGAAGACATCGGGCAACAAGGATCATGACTCGTTCTGTGCAGACAGGCTCGATGGCCCAGGCCAGAGACCAAGGGAGAGTCAGGGAAGCCTGAGCCCCCTGTGAAAGGAGCTCTGTACCCCAGAGGTCCCCTTCCGATTCAACTGGGACACCCAAGGATCGAAACTAAGGCTGATTCACCCGTCTACGTAGATTCTCTCGCACCCCCACTGGTGAGGAGGCCGGCCCCCCAGAGAAGTCGCCACGTGCGCTGGCCATGTGATAATGAAGCTTGAACGTGAACGCTCCTGGAGCAGGTGTGCCACCATTCGACCGTGACGAGTCATAAGTCTCCACGCGTGCGTGGGGTTTCAGGGAGCCCCCAGGCAGAGGTCTGAGGTGCAGGCAGTGCTGCCCGAGCGGGGGCACGGGTTACAAGGGCCCGTACTTGGTCTCATACTTGGACACGATGGTCTTGCACTTGCCCACCTCCTTGCGCAGCTCAGCCACCTCCGTCCGCAGCGCCGTGTTCTCCTTCTCCAGGAAGGCTGCCCGGATGGTGATCTGGTTCTCCTTCAGGCGCCGGGCATCCCGGGACCGTTTGGCCGCTACGTTGTTCTTCTTGCGTCTCGTCCAGTACTTTTCGTCCTGTGGGGAAGTGTCCTCTGTGGGTCTCTCCTCTTCCCCCATGAGGGAACCCAACCTTTCCCCTCCTACCAGCACCCAGCACCCCAGATTCCTCTTAAAACTCATCTGGTGCAACCAGCCAAAAGCTTGGACCCCAGGGAAGGAGCTGCATGTGCCAAGGACACCGAGGGGCCCTAACCTTTCCCCAGGAAGGTGGAATCAGAAACAAAGTCCTTGGTTGGGATGTGCGGTGGAGGGAGGGGGTTTTGCTGATTACCGGCTCTGGGCTACTTCAAGAGAAAGCACTGTCCACCCCTTGCCTCACTTCGGCATTTTGGTCGTGGCTAAGGGCCTGTACCCTGCGTCCAGCTCCCGGAGTTTAAATCTTAGCTCTGCCACTTCCTGGCGGTGGAACCGTGTGAGCCCCTTAGCCTCTCAACTATCTCCTGTCCCTCATCTTCACGATGTGGGATAGTAACAGTGACTCCAGCACAGAGCCGTCTGGGGAATAAATGAGTTACCGTGTACAAGGGGCCTATGACAGTGCCCAGCATATGGTAAGGACCACACAAATGTCTCCCATCTTCACTGTCACGGTTACTGAAGCCTCAGAAACCTCCTGAGAGGTGGGAATAGTTATTCCCGCTCTACGGATGAGGCATCTGAGGCCCGGCGAGCTCTAGGTGGCAAAGTGGAGTTTGAACCCAGGTCTGCCCAATTCTAAAGCTTGGATGAAATAGGTTCCTTTGAGTTTTTCATAAGAAAGGATGGAAAGACTACAAAATCCTCCTCTCCCTCCCACTCTCCGAGTTCCTACAAAAGCATCAGCTTGAAAGCTGCTTGCTCCTCCCTGGGGATGGCAACTTACAACTATCTTTTGTCCTTCAAAGCAAGGGCTTGTTCAACCCCAGTTCCTGTGGCCTAGTGAGCTCTTGCCCGAAGGCTGGGCCAAAGCCAGGGAAGTGGGAACATCACCACGGTGGCGGCCGGTAAGAAAAGACAGAAGCTACAGGGAGTCACACTGGGGCCAAATGTTACCTGACTCCCCTTCTTTCTACCAACTGCTGCAGGATATGGCTCTGTGCTCTGAACTCATGCCTTTCTAAACAGTGTCCACAAGGAGAGAGGGTCCTCCACATAAAATCGAATGGGAGGAAGCACAGCCCCTCAGCTCTTGAACCTTCATTCATAACAGATATCAGGTTACCTTCTGCTCATCGGGGACAAAGACCTTCTTGGCCTTTTTGATCATGGGCTGGGGCTTCAGGTCCTCCTCTGCAAACTTGTGCTTCCGAGGGTTGAAGAGCTCCCCGCCAGGGACACTGGAGAGGACCAGGTCAGCAGGGTCAGGATTGAAGTTCACATCCACCTCCACACAGTTGGGGTCAATGGGACTGGGTGTCTCCCTCTCCTTTTCTAGGGAGGACTCTGAAAGACACAGAGGCAGGTGGTCCTGAAGCAGCCCCCTGGACAGCAAAGACTCACGTCCCACACCCAGACACCTGCTTGAATCTCAAGGTTGCACCAGCCTCTGCCACTTGCAGGGAAGAAAAACCACAACAGCATCAGCCTCCAGGCTGGCATAAGTGATTCAACTCAAGAACACAAATATGGAAAGAATTCTTTCCTGTAGGAACAAAATGCTCAAAAGCAAACAGAGGCTCTCAAGAAAGACAGGATTTTCCGATTGTTTTTTTCCCCCCAGAAATGTTAAGCAAAACATTAAATCATTATACCCCCTTAACTTCCTGCAGTTTCAAGTTCTCAAATAATGAGAAACAGCTGAATTTCTCTGTGAACTATTATGGGCTAGGGACACAGACTGAACAACGAAATGGCTTCCATTTTTGAATCCGTTGAGGCAGATCAGTCAATGTGCTCATTCAGTCTCGGGACAACTCTCAAAGGCAGACAGGTGTTAACTTTATTTTACAGATGAAGAAACTGAGGCTCAGAGACACAACCTGGTTGTCCCAGGGTCACACAAATGGTAAGGGACCGAACTACAATTTGAGTCTGGGTCTGGCTGACTCTGAATCCTTGTTCTTTGCCACCCCTTTCCGGCTTTGTAGTGGACATTGGATTAAAGGCACTTTCAGAATTCAAAGGTTGTGCATTACTAGAGATAAGTTATAAAAAACAAATCAACGTATCTTTGGCCTACTCATTCAATGCTACTGATAGGAGTACACAAAATATTCGGTCAACAGGTATTTGTCAAATATCTACCATATGCCAGAAACTGTCCTTGCAAAGACAAAAGTGCACAAAACAAGTAAAAATCATTGCCTTCGTGGAATGTTATTCTAGCGGGGGAAGGCTGACATTACACAAGATAAATTAAAAATATCTACAAGAGTGTTGGATGCCGTGTGGCTATTTGGGAGGAGAACATTTCAGAGTGAACATCAAGTGCAGCAGGATGTGCACAGGCAGGCAGTGGTCTGCAAGAAACAGAGAGGCAGCCAATGTAGCTGAAGGGGAAGGATGGGAGGAGAGAGTAATAGGACAGGTCGAGAACATAAAATACAGTGCTTTTAATCCCCAGAAAGCAGTGGTTTTCAACAGGGGGTGATTCTGTCCCGCAGGAGACATGTGACCACACAGGGAAGCGGGGGTTCTGCTGGCATTCGTGGGTAGAAACCAGGAATGCTGCTAAACATCCTGTAATGCACAGGACAGTCCCTCCCTCCACCCCAGCAAAAAAATGATCTGGTCCAAATGTCAATAGTGCCAGTGACTTTGACTTTTTCCCTGAGATGGAGAAGCTCCTGGAGGGTTCTGAGCAGAGGGGTGACATAATAGGTTTCACCGGATCGTGCACATAAACTCAGTGGATCCTATTAGGGGGGGTTAATTACTAAAAGGGCTGAACACCAGGAGAGTGAATGACCAGGGACCCATGTGGTAACTGTGGGAGCACCGCAGCTGCCAAACCCTACACCCGTGAGACAAACAGCCAGGGTGCCAAAGCCCGACAACTAGGACTCCCGCACCCTGCTGGGACGGGCAGCCACGGCTGCAAACACTTTCTACATTGTGTGGCGGAACCTACAAAGCCTGAATGTATACGTGTCTGATGACCCAACCCCATAGAAACGCACAGATGTAAGCACCAAAAGACACGCATGTAAATGACCATAGCAGGGCTGTGCATAACCTAAAACTAGAAATGCCTCAAACGCCCATCAACCATAGAATGGATAAACGTGGTATGATCATACAATGGAATCACTCAAGCAATGAGAATGAGAAAACTGCTATAGGTATGACATAAATTTCCTCACAAATTTGAGGAAAGGCAGCTAGACAGAGCATACATACTACTTATGTCTTTCAACAGAAGGAACTGAAAAATTAAAGAGAGGGAATTCTCCTTTCAATTCTACCATGTGTACAATTCTTCAATATAAAACTTTACCTGCATTGTGGTTTTCTTCTGCCACAGGAGTATTCCATAAGTATGTTTTGTAGATATATTTTGTTAGTGTAAAGAGATTCTGATGCCCCCATAATTTATATGTGTATTATAATGCTAGCTACAGGCACCTATAAATGTCAGACTATAAACATAATTATAATAGGCAAAACAAACATAATACATAATATACACACATATACAACATACCATCCCATGCTTCTTTGGTGATGGAAATAAGGATAGTGATTACCTCTGGGTAGTAATGACTGAATTGGGGCCACAAGGCATTTCTGGGATACCAATAGTGTTCTATACCCTGATTTGTGTGGTAGTTACATGGGTGGGTTCACTTTGTGAAGATTCATCGAGCTGTGAAATGGGCACTTCTGTATGCCAAACTTCATTGAGAAGGTTTACTTAGAAACAAAATGGGGTGCCTGTGTGACTCAGTTGGTTGAACTTCTGACTCTTGGTTTTGGCTCAGGTCATGATCTCAGGGTCGTGGAATCAAGCCCCATCTGGGGCTCCATGCTCAGCTCAGAGTCTGCTTGATATTCTCTCTTTCCCTCTCCCTCTGCCCGCCCCCACACTCTCTCTCTAAAATAAATAAATAAATCTTAAAACAACAACAATAAATCAGAGGCAAATGACACCCAGATTGCCTAAGGTATAAAATGAGGACTCATTTCCAGCTCTGTCCCCTTCCCACACACGGACCCAGCCTTCCGGGACACAACCTGATGAGCACAAAAATGAGCTGCCTTCAAACAAGAATTCAGCTGGAATCAGCTGAAGCCTCTAGATCGAATCAGTTTACAGGAGAAAAACAAGGGGCAGAGGAACATGTTAAATGGCACTGTAGGGATATGGTCAGAAAAATCTAGCTTGTGCACAACTCTACAGGACCAACGACTCAGTGTCTTCAACAAATAAATTGCAAAGAAGAAAAAGAGGGGATCCCACAGATTACGAAAGATTTAAGAGACATCACTAAATGAAATCTGTGCATCTTGTTTGGATCCTGATTCAAACAAACTGTAAAACAGTAACATTTTTAAAAAGATTATTTATTTGAGAGTGTGTGCGTGCGTGCACGGGAGTGGGCAGAGAAAGAATCTCAAGCAGACTCCCCAGTGAGTGCAGAGCCCAACATGGGGCTTGATCTCATGACACTGAGATCACGACCCGTGCCAAAATCAAGAGTCAGACACTTAACCGACTGAGCCACCCAGGCGCCCCTCTAAACAGTAACGTTTCTGAGACAACTTTTTGGAAATTTGAATGCTGATGGATATGTTGTCAATTTCTTATGTAAAATTGGTATTTTTGTTATGCTTTTTAAAAGAACCCTTACATTTTACGTACATACTGAAATATGCACAGATGAAATGATATAGTATCTAGGATTTTATTTTACTTAAAGATTTTATTTATTTGAGAGAGAGTGAGAGAGCACAAGGGGGGGTGGGGAGAGGCAGAGGGAGAGGGAGAAGCCAGCTTCCCACTGAGCAGGGAGCCCGACGTGGGGCTCGATCCCAGGAGATCATGACCTGAGCCAAAGGCAGACGCTTAACTGACTGAGCCACCCAGGCGCCCCCAGGATTTGATTTTAAATAATGAGGTGAGAGACTGGAAGAGGTTATGGAATACAAGATTGATTATGAGTTAAGAATTATGAAAGGTGAGTGATGGTTACATGAAGGTTCATATAGTAGTCTCTTACTTTTGTATTTGAAAGTGCTTCCATAATAAAAAGTTAAATAATAAATAAAAATAAAGCATGAGAATTCCTTGGGGGTGGGTCCCCTGGGTTCCATACCAGCTCCTGGGATCCTTCCTGGGAGCCATCAGCCTGTGTGCCTGTAACTGAGCCTGCAAAAAACCTTGTAGGGTTCCCTGAGACAGAGGCCATGCCTCCTCTGAAGGGTTCGTGTCCAAGCGGCATGAAAACCAACCCATCCACCCCAAGAGGTAAAACAGAAAAAGGACAAGAGGCTAAAGGAGGAGTCCCGGAGATGATGCTTGTCCTGGAAGCAGGAACGCCTTCCCCGTGCCAGTGCCTAAGCAGTACGTGGCTGGGGGGTCAGGCATCTGGCTTTAAGTGCTGCCTCCGCTACCTACCAGCTGTGTGACCTTGGGCAAGTTACTTCTAGTTTCCTCACCCTGTAAGAAAGGTATCAGAGTATCAATCTCATAAGGTTCTCGTGAGGATTATGTGTTAATGCCTGGCATGGAGTAAGTGCTAAATAAATGTTAGCTGGTATTGTTGTTATTATTATTAGTAGTAGTAGTAGTATTACTACTGCCTGAGCTGCCCAATAAGCTGTGGCAAAGTGCATGCAGACGGAAAGAGCAGTGCTGAGGAAAAGCAGCACGGGATTTCTATTCTGTAAAGTCTCAGACTGGAAGGGCTCACTCCACTGTCCCAGCCATCTGCAGCACGCCAACCCACAGAAAGGCCCCGGCTGCACTGATGTGGCTGCTATTTTCGTCGCCAGTCTCTGGGGACTGTGCGCAAGGATGGGGTGCAGAGGATTTCTCCACACTGCAGGCCCACCGGGACCTCCTCTGAGAGAAGGGCCTCACTGGGTGTATGGGCTCAGCAGCCCTCAGTGGGAACGGGGCTTCTCTGGATGGGCCGGGTGGCCAGGCACCCACCTGTGCTGGACGCGGTTTCAGAGGGCTGAAAGACGGCAGTGGAGGAGGATGGTGGGGATGCCGTGGAAGAGCTGGCCGACTCCTTCCCTTCCAGCTCGGCCACAGGCAGCAGCAGGTTCTGGGCCAGGTGGGTGGGGCTGGCGGGGATGCCATTCTCCAGCAGGAACTCATCCAGATCCATGTACTCCAGGTGGAAAGACTCGCCGTCGTAAGGGATGGTCTTGTCCCAGATGGGGGGCATGAGGGAGGCTGAGACGGCCATGGTGCTGGCTGCCGCAGCCTCGTCTTCCTCCAGCTTTTCCTTCCCTTTTTCTTTATCTGCAGACACAAAATCTGTGCTGAGACACCACACAAGAGGGTAATTCAATCTCAGGAGGTGAGCTGTGCACCTCTCGGGGCTGATCCTCTCCATCTGAGCCCTGATCCAGCCCATCAATTTCAAGAGCCCACTCTGCTCTCCAGTTATAACCTGTTGTTTGACCCAGGCCCACTGGTCTCCTTTGGAGCTGGCAGTGTGGCCTCACCCATGCCTGGGCTTCCCAGAATGTCCTTCGCAAGTTCTGGGGCCTGATGGGGTCCCAGGATTAATTCAGAATAGGCTGTGGGAGTGGCATCTGCAGGAGAGAGGCTTCAGGGAGGAAATGGAGTTTCTGATTATCTTAGTAATATTTTAGGAAAGGATATTTTAAGATTCTTCAGACCAAGAACTTTTGTGTTCTCCTGTCCTGTTCCCTCCAGCCACACTTCTCCACGGGAACCCAGCCTAGGGCTTGAATCCCAGCTTTGCCACCCACTTGCTATGATGTGTGATTTTAGCCATGTTACTTAACCTCTCCCAGCCTCAGTGTACTCTACCATAAATAAGGATAAAGTAGCCTCTTTGGTGGAGATTAAAGATAACACATTTTTTTAAGATTTTTTATTTTTAAGTCATCTCTACACCCAATGTGGGGCTCGAACTGGCAACCCAGAGATCAAGATTCACATGCTCCATTGACTCAGCCAGCCAGGTGCCCCTAGAGATAACATTTGAAAGTGTCTTGTAGGGTTCCTGAACACAGCAGGCATCCGCTATTGCTGTGAGCTCACTGAGGGCAGGGACTATGTCTGATTCATTTCTACATCTCAAGGACCACTACAGGAGCAAGCTGAGGGGAAATGTGCATACTGAATGAAAAATGCTGGGTTTGCAAACTGGCTCCCTTTAGGTTTATTGGATAGAGAGGGCTTGGAGCTGTCTTTTCAGGACCTTTTTCAGAGCAACCATTTCAGGAGACCTCTATCCCTGATTAAGCAGAGAAGACTGAAGGCAGGTTTTCTGGGAAGGACAGGGGGTGGAGCTGAAGAAGAAAAGACTGTTCCAAAAAAAAAAAAGCTCGTTCCCATTCAAAGCAAAACTAATCAATTAGTGCGAACGGGTTCCCACCTAATTGTCTCAGCCCAAAAGCTATGCACGTAGGTATCCAAGAAAGGGCAAATTAAGAAAAAAGGATGAAAGAAATGTGACAAGGTTAGAAGGAAATCAAAGTGACAGGGAGGCTAATCAGGGAAGTGGGAGATAAAATCATGACAAGTTCATAATGGGCTTTCAAACTGAGGGAGACAACTTTGAACTCTGGATTCTGAAGTAAAAAAAAGAAATCAAATATGATTATGTTGGAAATAAACCAGTCATGCATGGACTCCTAGACCACAGCCAGCCAAAAATCAGCCTGTTGGTCCAATAAAAATGGACACACCCAGTGTGTTAAAAAGGTGCAACTTTTGACAAACAGAATTTGGTCATAGCTTCTAACCTGAATTGTTGCAACTACCTACTGTACCAAGCTTTGTTTTTTTTGTTTTTAAAGATTTTATTTATTTATTTGACAGAGAGACAGCGAGAGAGGGAACACAAGCAGAGGGAGTGGGAAAGGGAGAAGCAGGATCCCCGCTGAGCAGGGAGCCCAATGAGGGGCTCGATCCCAGGACCCCGGGGATCATGACCTGAGCTGAAGGCAGACGCTTAATGACTGAGCCACCCAGGCACCCCTGTACCAAGCTTTGGTTTAAAACCAAATGGGAAGTAAGAAAGCCAAGCTCTGGTGGGCTGGGTGGGCCAGATGGCCTCCCTGTTCTCCTCCTCTGAGATCCTGACTCTACATTCTGTTCAGAAACGACTGTGACCCATGTTGGGTGGGATCATGGGGCTCAAAGGAGGCAGGAAAAGGGAAGGGACAGAAAAACAGCCATACTGAAGGACAAGGAACAATAAGTTCCAGGTTTTACCTGATGTAAGCAATGAAAATATGTATTTTTCAAGTTTTTATTCTTTTAATTTATTTTAAAAATTTATTTATTTATTATTTATTAAGATTTATTTTAGAGACAAAAAGAGAGCACCAGCAGGAGGGGCAGAGAGAGGGAGAAAGAATCTCAAGCAGATGCCACGCTCAGCGGGAGCCCGATGCCAGGCTCGATCTCAGGACCCTGAGATCATGACCTCAGCTGAAACCAAGAGTCACACGCTTAACCGACTGCACCACCCAGGCACCCCTAAATTTATTTATTTATTTATTTATTTTCAAGATTTTATTTATTTATTTGAGAGAGAGAATGAAATAGAGACAGAGAGAGCATGAGATGGGGGAGCGTCAGAGGGAGAAGCAGACTTCCTGCTGAGCAGGGAGCCCGATGCGGGACTCGATCCCGGGACTCCAGGATCATGACCTGAGCTGAAGGCAGTCGCTTAACCAACTGAGCCACTCAGGCGCCCCCCCTAAATTTATTTTTAAATAAGCTCTATGCCCAACGTGGGGCTTGAACTCAAGATCCCAAGATCAAGAGTTGCATATTCTATTGACGGAGCCAATCAGGCACCCCAAGAATATTTTTAATCAGTGTTTTCATAATTTTTAAATAAATTATAATCAGAGTTTTAATTATAAGAGATGATAAAGGACTAGGCCCATCGCACAGGTCACAGGGATGGACATCACTGGTTGCCAATGATACAGTAAAAAGCACCAGACCAGGCTGAGAGCTGTAAGGCTTAGCTAGGTGACCTTGAGAAAGCATCCTCACCTTCTGAGCCTCAGCTTTCCTCATCTGGGAAGTGGGGATAATATCTTACAGGACTGCTATGGAAGACTAAATAAGATTATGTCAAAGTGCTTTGTAAGCACTGTGCAAATGTAAGGTAGAATTATTGTTATCGATGGTTGATACTTGGTAATCTTGAAAAAGAACTTGAGAGATGTGTACACCTGTTCCAGCATCTTGTCTCATCCGCACATCTGGAATAAAGCACTGCCTTCAAAACAAAGAAAAGGGTCTGGGCACATGAGGTTCCAAAGCAGGAGGGGAGAGCCTGGCCTTACCTGATGTGCTGAAGCTATTTATAACACAACAGTGACAGCCACAGAGATGGGAACCTCAGAACACACCCAGGAAAGGAAGAAAAATAGCATTTTTTAAAAAGAAAATTAATTCTTCAAGACAGGTAATTCACAGAAGGCTTACTCCTTCCCAAATCCTTGAACTAGCACTGATGGTTCTTAGAAATTCAAAGATCTCAGACTGCAAGCATACCTTAGTGCACCTAAAACCTCACAATAGGTGGCATTCCTCCTGTGCCCTGAACCTCATGTTCTCAGGCCAAAAAACAGGGCCAAACCTGCTTTCCACACAGTCTCCACGGACCTTTGTGGCCTAGGAAACAAGGCGCAGCCCAGCCCTGCTACAGTGGCCCCAAAGTCTAGGGTCAGCCCCAAACAACGGGGTGAAGGTGCCACAGTGGCCTCATTCTGACCCTCATCCCTCTACCTGCCTCGCCCCAACCTCCCCCTGGGAAGGCACCTCGAATCCCTTCTCCTGACACCCCTCCCCCACCTCAGCAGCAGAAAATCTCCTGTGTGTACCGAGTAGCTGGGGATACGCACACGCAGGGATGAAGAGAGGTCCTCCTCCCAGAAGTGGGGAAGTCCATATACAAAGACAATCCGCCACCATATATCAGGGCTACTCAAACTTTGGTGCACTTTGGAATCACAGAGGTGGGGGTGCTCCTTCAAATGCGGATTCCTGTCCCAGCAGCAGCAGATTCGGTGGGCGAAGGGTGGGGCCCAGGAACCAGCATTTTAAACTAGCATCCCAAAGGATTCTGATGCAGGCATCCCCAGAGAAGGCACCCTGGAGCGTCCTTTAATTGGCAGCTGCGACCCCCATCGGCCTCCTCAGGAACCCCTACACGTCGCGGGCGCCGTGAGGCTGCCCGAATGAACCCCCTCACCACGACCCCCACCCCACCCTCTCCCTCCTGCCCCTTCCCCGCAACCCCCATATGACCTAGACTCTCTCCAGTCACCCCAACCTTCTCTTCCCAACCCCTTGCCTCGCCCTCCAGGCCCCTCCGCAGGACAACTACACCATGACCTCGGACCTCCCCGGCCCCGCCCTCGCACGGCCCCGCCCCTGCAGAAACCCCGCCCCCAGGCGCGCTCAGGACCCCCCCCCCCCCTCACCGAGGCGCGCCTCCCGCGGGGGGTTCTCCATCAGCTTCTTCAGGACCAGTGGGAAGGAGCCCGGCAGGCCCCTCTCCCCAGCTGCGCGCCCCGGGCCCGGGCCCGGCCCCGCCTGCGGCTCCACAGGCGGCTTCTTCCCGCCGCCCGCGTCCGACATCGTGCCCCGCGCTCTGCTCGCGCGCCTCGCCTCCCCCGCCCGCCCCCCGAGATGGGCCGGAGCCGTGCGACCCGCAGCAGCTGCCGACACGGGCAGCTACTGCGCAGGCGCCCAGCAGCACCCCCCCACCTCCCTCCATCCCTACCCCGCCTGCGGACAGGCTCTGGCATATTAATTATTCATGAGGCCAGGCCAGCTTCCCCGGATCGCGGCTTTGGATTGGTCTGCCCTGTAAGTTGGGCCGGCGCAGCCTTCCGGGCCGTGATTGGTTAGGACGCCAGGGTTAGCGCGGCACGTGTGGGGCCAGGTGAGGAGCAACGCCGGAGGCCCCGCCCCGTCCGCCTTTGTGTCACCTGATTGGCGCCTGCTGGAGTCGGTGTCATGAGCCCTCTTCGGCCGCAGCCCCTTACCCTCAACCTGCGGTCTCACCTTTGCCTCCCTCTTCATAACCCCCGCCCTCCTCCCAGACCACCGCAAGCGTTCCCTCTTCCCTTTCATCTCAATCTCTCCACCTCCCGGACGCGCCACCGAAGGGAAGCTGGGCAGGGCGTGGTGAGGCCGGCCGGGGGAGCCTATCAAATCGCCCGCTCGGGCCCCGCGGCCGTTCCCCCCGCGGGTCACGTGGAGCCGCAGCCGAGTCTGGTAGCGGGGGGAGGGGGAAGAGGAGGAAGGCGCGGTGCAGCCAATGGAGGGCGGGGGCGGGGCCCGGGGCGGTGCACGAGGCGTAGCACGTGCGAGGCTGCGGCGGGGAGGGCAGGGGTGGGCCTTTTTGTTCCGGGGACTCTGCCCGGGGTCGTGGGACAGGAACGCAAAACCCAGCGCGCACCCGCGACGCAGAGGTTGGCTGAGGGCAGGGCCGCAGACGGCGACCTGCCCTACCCGTTGGGTTGGCCCGAGCTAGGTTGGCCGCTCCTGCCGGGGGGGGGGGCGGTTTGGCGGGACGGGGGTGTCAGGTTCCCCACTGTTCCCGGTTTCTGGCGCGGGTGTGGCAGCCAGATAAACACAAGCGTGGAGGGCGCATTCTTGAGGCCCGCGGGTGGAGAGAAAGGGCCGGCCCTGCGCCAGGGCCCGGGTACATGCTTCCGTCCTCCCACTTACTAGCTTACGACCTTGGGAAAGTCCAGTGGCTTCACTTGCGCCTGCTTCCTCATCCATAAAATGAAGGGGTTGGGCTAATCTGTAAACTCCTAAACGGCTCTGCAATTCTGTTCCTCTCTAGGACTTTCCCTTCCTTTTCCTAAGGAAAAACGAAACAAAACAAGATTCCTTTACACAGAGTACCGATTACACACTTTGTGGGCGAACGTCCTCTTAAAACACAAATACTCCCTGGGAATGCCTCAGGAAACCTGTGAAAGTGTAAAATGTGAGAGGGTACACAAATGTGGGGACGGTAGAGGAAGCTAATCCCAAACGGGGCCCAGAACTTTGTACCTCATTAGAGCACAAATCACACTCTGCTTTGCACCCAAACAGTACTAGACTCTCCCTGTCTAAACTTCCTGGGTGGGGGCGGGGGCTTTGGCCTGTTTATCTGGTTTCTCACCCACGAGCCTGGGCCTTCCAGTAGTCAGACTGGGAATGGTAGAGTGCAGTCCTTGGTGCATGGGGTAGGTGCGTGACCGCCAACACCCGCCTAGCTGAAAGCTGTCCCGCAGATGCAATCAGAATTTTGCTGGGAGTTGAGGAAAAAGAAGTCGGGCCCCTAAGCAGGCCTGGAAAGCAAGAGGTTTGAAGGGATTCTGGGAGATGGCTGGGACAGGCTGATGGCATCTGACTCCAAATTCAAGTACCTACTGCTGCACCCATTACACTTGGGTTACGTTCTGGCTCATACCTCCAGCCAATTGCTTCACATCTCCAGGCCTCCTTTCCTGGTGTGTCAAATGGAGGTAGGACAGAGTCTACCTTTGAGGTTTCCATAAGCCAATGCACTGCACAATTGTAAACCGGCAACAAATGGTAGTTTTCGTAATTTTTACTAAAACTCATGGGTACAGATCAACAAATGGTAGTTTTCATAATTTTACTAAAACTCAGGGGTACAGATCTGCATACAACTCGTGGTGTATGCCGATTCTCTGTTTGGTAGAAATACTAAATTGTGCACAGAAAATCTGTTGCATTGTGAACTTATTGGTGGGAATTATGTATATGGCTAAACAAAGATATCTTTAGGGGGTGCCTGGCTGGCTCAGTTGGTGGAGCATGGGACTCTTGATCTTAGGGTTGTGAGTTTGAGCACCACATTGGATGTACTTAAAAATAAAATCTTAAAAAAAACCCAAAAAGATATCTTTAGGAGAAACGGACCTAGAGGTTTTCAGAAACAAATTTCGGAGTAGTCCAAGGAAACTGGCAGGAAGCTTTTTCAAAAATGGCTGGTTTGGCCATGGAGAGACTTGCTGCATTAGAATTAAATGTCTATTTTCATGGCTAATGTGACATTATTGAAGGGGAAAACAATTTTCAAGGTATTAGAGGAGGATTTGCAATAATTTAACAGTGGAAAGTTAAAACATTTGTTTATAACAAGGGTGGGTGTAGTAGGAAGGAGTAAAGATTCAGACTTCTTTGTAAGCTAGTTATCCAAAAGGCATAATGCCAACTCCATTTACCACCCAGCCCGGAGCAACTAAACTAACAGGCAAGGGACACTTGTGAGGAGCAAGACAAGCAGGTTGGGACTTTAAAACTCAGCTTTGGGCGCCTGGGTGGCTCAGTTGGTTAAGCAACTGCCTTCAGCTCGGGTCGTGATCCTGGAGTCCCAGGATCGAGTCCCACATCGGGCTTCCTGCTCAGCGGGGAGTCTGCTTCTCCCTCTGACCCTCTTCCCTCTCGTGCTCTCTATGTCTCATTCTCTCTCTCTCAAATAAATAAATAAAATCTTAAAAAAAAAACAAACAAACAACTCAGCTTTGAGGGGCGCCTGGATGGCTCAGTCGGTTAAGTGTCTGCCTTCGACTCAGGCCATGATCCAGGGGTCCTGGGATTGAGCCCTGCATCAGGTTCCTTGCTCAAGAGGGGAGTCTGTTTCTCCTTCTCCCTCTGTCCCTCCACCTGCTTGTGTTCTGTCTCTCTCAAATAAATAAATCTTTAAAAAAATAAAACTCAAAATAAATAAATAAATAAATAAATAAATAATAAAACTCAGTTTTGATTCTAATCTCTTTTCGTGTCCTGACACTCCCCAGAAAGGGTTTTTTTTTTTTTTTTTTTTCTTTTCTCCTGGATAACCACAGGGTAAATGGTGTGTCACAAACACTGCAGGAACATTACAAACATGTCCTCTCTCGTGCTTGCTTGTAAGCTAGGAGGTTAGCTACGTTGTGGACTGGCAGCATTCAACAGCACCACCCTGGAGGCGGGGTGAGAGCCATTACATTCTGGGCTTCCTTCTCTAGCTGACCAGAGAAGAACCGTGGCAGCCTCTGTCTACCCCGTCTCCTATCAGTAAAGTGGGAATAACAGCGTGGCCTCACCCCTTCCCATAGTGGAGGAAAAGATGTTGTGAGAATTAGCTGATTTCCATAGTGTATGTGAGCCCTACGAAGAAAAGAACTCCACAAAAAGAACATGTCATTACATGGTTAAGACTTTAAAGGTATGAAGTGGTACCACAGTGTTCTTAGTGGTAGGGTTTCAACGCAGTGACTTTTTGAGGGAAACATGGTTGTGGGGGGCAGGCATGGGTGGGGTCTCCTCCCCTCAGCTGCTGACTAGCCACCTGGCCTTGGGCAAATGACTTCTCCTAAGCCTCCTGTTTGTCACTCAGAAACCGAGGTGGATATGCTTACCTCACAGAGCGGTTAGGAGGATAATATGTGAGAAGCAATCTCAAGTGACCACCTGAACAGTGTATGTCATGGACTGGGTGGGCCACTACCCTTCCCCTTCATTCAGGTTTTGTTGGGTCAGGAGTAGAATTATTTTGGGAGGCTGGGTTCTAGAGTCAAAGCTACAGCAGAGAACACGGATGTGAAATATTCCATTTTCCAGAGCTAGACTGGCTCTGAATTCTCTTTAGTGCTTCAGAAACCTGCTAACCAACCCAAATTAAAAACATAATTGAGGGGTGCCTGGGTGGTTCAGTCGGTTAAGCGTCAGTCAGACTTGGTCTCAGCTCAGGTCTTGATCTCAAGGTCATGAGTTCAAGCCCCTCATTGAGCTCCACACTGGGCTTGGAGCCTTTTTTAAAAAAAAACTTACTAAAAAAACCCCAACTTAATTGAGCATATGCAGAACAAGTGCCTTTCATTAAGCCACAATGCTGATTCAGAGTATTATTATTTAAATTTGCATTTCAGAGGAGCTGTAACTCCAGCACGGGAGCCTTTGGCCAGATACCCCCACAAAGATCCATTTGGCCACATAGTCAGCATCCAGTAGGACAGCACCTCTTCCAATCTTCTGACTTTACTCAGCATAGTGTGTGTGTAAGAACAGGACAATGAGAAGGCTTCCATTGAGCTCTCACAAAGCCCAGTTATCTATGGGCTTTGCCAGTACCCAATGCAGGAGAGCACAAAACTTGGTTCAGGGTAGTAACTCCGTAAATATTTGTTGGCTCGCTTTGTTGGCAGGGCTGGTAGGAAGGTTGACAAAATCTTTCAGAGCCAAGTCCTATACATTTGGAACATTATTAACATTAAATAACAGTCATTGTGTTGATTCATGGTGGAACCTGGAATAACAAACGTGAGCCATCCTTAATGGCAAGTCCCCCAGCACAAGCCTGGCCCACAACTCGCATACCTGTGGCTGCATGGTTCTGGGCTGTGGCTTGTACCTTGGTATCAGTGTGTTCTAGAGGAGAAGTGGTGGGTGGAGGCTCTTCACTAACTCTTGCCCATCTCTTCAATATGAGTTTCCTGTTTGGCTTGCCTCTTGTCCACTCCCAGGGTTCAGATTACAGACGGAGAGCTGCCCCGGGAGTGCCATTTCCAGAGAAGCCATCACCTGCAGCCTCTGCCACGTCTCAACAGCCACTGACAACCACGGTTTCTCCAGTAAAATCTGCATTGATGGTGCAGTGGTAGGGTGTGGGCTCTGGAGTAGACCATCAGGGTTTAATTCCCGCTTTGACTACTTCCCTAACTGTGTGACCTTGGGCAAGTTACTTAACCTCTCTGTGCCTGAATGTCAAAAGTAAACAATTCAGGCACGCTGCTGAGAACAGCACTTGGCACCTAGCAAGTGCTCAGTTGAAGTTAACTCAGCCTAATTGCATAGTGGGGTGGGGGGCAGGGATAGGACAGCTTCACTCTTCTTTAGGATCTTCAAGGCCCTGCAGGTTCTCCCCTCTGCGGGTCTCTCCAACCGCACCTCTTCCTTCTCTCCCTCCCTTGCTCACCTTCGGCAGCCACAGTGGCTTTTATTCCTCAAATACGTGTCTTTCCTGACCCAAGAAAGGGCCTTTGCAGGTGCTGTTCCCTCAGCCTGAAAGTTCTCTGTGTTGCTCACTCTCCCTCACTTTCTGGGCCTCTGCTCCCATGTCACCCCCTCGGAGAGGCTGGCCCTGACCCTCCTCACTGCTGTCAGTCTCTCCCCACTGGAATACAGACACGGGCGAGGGGGCAGTGTTTGGGTCATTCACCCCCTGGGGCTGGAAGTGTAGCAAACACTCACT